GCCGGCACAGCCCCATCCCACCGATGCTGCTGGCTGGGGCCTACCTAACTTCCCTCCCAACTGCCAGTTGCGAGAGGAGGGGGGAGGAGGAGGGTCACCCGAAGGGATGCTTCCATTGTGGCTGGCGATCATTGTTCAGTTTTCTCCTCCCCCCTCCTCCCCCTCTTGTGACCAGCAGCTGTGTTGGGACCGGGAAGGTGGACACATGCATCTCAAGAGCAGGTAAGAGAAGCAGTCCAGAGCCAACACAAGCTTCTCCGTTGTTCTTTCCATCTGGGAGAGCGAGAGCGCCTCTTTCTCAGCAAAGCGAGAAGCCTGAAAATCCCCCTCTGATCGAATGGGTTCCCAGGTGCAGAGAGAGCAGGATGAGAAGGGGACTTTCAGGCTTCTTTGCCGGGAGAGAGGTGCTCTCACTCTCCCAGTTGGAAAGAGACAATGGAGAAGCTTGTGTTGGCTCCGGTCTGGACTGCTTCTCTTACCTGCTATTGCTGGGAAAGCGCTGCCGCCGCGGGGGCGTGTGGAGGTACTTTTTTCCTTTTTCCGCTGCTCGGTGCTGACTTGAGCTGCCCAATCATTCAGTTTGTCCCAGACGAGGTTTGTGTGTGTGAGAGAGAGAAATAGAAAGGGGGGGGGAGAAAGAAAGAGGGAGAGAAAGAGAGAGAGAAAGAAAGAGAGAGGGGGAAAGAGAGGGGGAGAGGGAAAGAGAATGGGGGAGAGGGAGAGAGAGGGAAAGAGAGGGGGAGATAGAGAGAAAGAGAAAGAAAGAGAAGGAAGAGACAAGGAAGAAAAGAACGAAACGAAAGAAAAAAAGGAAGAGAGAAAGGAAGTGAAAGGAAGAAAGAGGGGATGGAAGGAAGGGACAGAAAGAAAAAGAAAGAAAGAGAGGGAGGGGAGAGAAAGAGAGAAAGAGAAAGAGAGGGAAAGAGAGGTGAAAGAGAGAAAGAGGGGGAGAGAGAGGGAAAGAGAGGGAAAAAGGAATCCCACCCCTGGGTAGCTGCCCCCCTCCCCCCAGTGACACAGAAGGAAGGAATAATGGGGTCATATAGAAAGTCAGCATACAGGCATCTGATCCTGGTTGCATTAGGAACCTTTTGTCTACAATACCTGTAAATTTGGAATTTTCCCTTCTGTGCTACAAATTCATTTTTGTTAAGAGCATGGGGTGTTTGTTACATTTCTGAAATATTTTTTGTATTCATTCATGGAAGTCGTTAACTTTGATTTGTCAATCTGGGGTTGCCTGACTATTACCTTCAGGTGAATTCTTGAGGTTAAATAGAGTCTAAGTAAATAATAAAGTTTATCCATTCACAGTTCCTAATGTCTGGTTTTTGAAGAAAGGATCATTTCTAAAGGTGTTATTATTCTTGTGAAGTTTGTTTTGTTTGTGTAAGTTCTCTGCAGCAATGCCACATACAGAGACACAATGAAGAGAAATAATATCTGGCTATGAGTGTCAGGGGATTAAAAATATTGAGCCCGAGGCTCCTGTTTTGCCTGCGATCTTGGATTGGGGTTTGAAGGCTGTAAAGTCTCCAGTCTGTTTTACATCTACATAACTACAACTGTTGTTCTTGGTTCTGATCTGGCTCAATAGCTTGTGATCCAATGTAGGAAGGATGTTGAGGAACAAAGAGCAAAACTGTGTAGAAGTAGAAGGTTGGGAATTAAAGTTTGGGCTCCTGGGGAGGAGGAGCATCTTTGGGACTGAAACTCATGTACTGTAGATACAATAAGAAGCACCAGTTGGGTCTGAAACGTTAAAGGCTGCATGATTATGCAGCCCTCAGTAGGGTGGTTTCTTCTTTCTTTCTTTCTTTCTTTCTTTCTTTCTTTCTTTCTTTCTTTCTTTCTTTCTTTCCTTCCTTCCTTCCTTCCTTCCTTCCTTCCTTCCTTCCTTCC